TCATCCATCATCCATCTATGCACCCACTCATACCCATCCATCCATCCACTCACCCACTGACTCATCCATCCATCTACCTACCCATCTATTCATATGCATCCACTGGACGATGGCAAATTCAATTTATGGAGGAAAGGGCTTATTCCATTTACCATAGTTAGGACAGGAACTCAAACAGGGTAGCATCTTGGAGGCAGGAGCTGATGCAGAGGCCATGAAGGAATACTGATTACTGGCTTGCTCAGTTTGCTTTCTTATAGAGCCCAGGTAGCCAGCACAGGCACGACAGTGCCCACAATGGCCTTGGCCTTCCCATACCAACCATTAATTATGAAAATGCCCTACAGGCTTGCCTACAGCCCAATTTCATGGAGGCGTTTTTTCCTCAATGGAGGTTTCCCCCTCTGAGTCGGCTCTAGCTTGTGTCAAGCTGACAGAAAACCAGCCAGCACACCTACCCATTCATCCACCCTCCCGCCTATCTATTCATCAACCAGTCCTCTCATCCATCACCCACCTACTCATGAAGCCATCCATCCATCCACCCACCCACCCACCCTTCCATTCACCCAAACATCCAACCATCAAACCGAACCAACCAAAAACCAACCAAGCAAAACCAACCAAACAGCTGTGCCAGCAAACAGCAAAGATCCCACAGCACTCAATGCATGTCAGCTGTATTACGATGTGCAGATATGAATTAGATTCATGTTTCATACTTAAAGCCATTTGGAACCTTGGAGCCCTTTGGAAAATCTGGTGAAACTATTGGGTCTCCTTCCTAGAAAGCCTTGCGGCCCTACAGGCACACACACACACACACACACACACACACACACACACACACACACACACACACTTTTGTATGTTTATGACTCACCTTAGGACCTGCCACAGCTTTTCCAGTGCATGGCTAGTAGGTTGGCCTGTTCAGAATCACTGTTGTTTCAGTAAAGGAAAAAGGATGTAGGGCTGGGGAGGATAGCCCAGCAGCTCAAGTGCTCGCTGAGTAAGCTTGGTGACCTGAGCTCAGATGCCCAGTACCTGTGTCAAAGGCGGGACATGGCAGCAGGCACCCGAGGCCCCAGCGCTGAGAGGTGGAGGCAGAGGAAGGGTAGTCTTAGCTAGGAACCTAGACAGAACCTCACCAGGTAGCCCAGGCTAACCCATGAACTCCTGACCCTTCTGGCTTTGCCTCCTGACTGCTGGGTTTACGGACATGTGCCACCATCCCCAGAGGCTGTGTTGGTTTTGACAGGGTCTGGACCTTCACCTATCCAAATTCTCGGCGTTCTGGCTCTTCCACTGGCCCCAGGGAAGGCTCCAGGCGGAGGCTCCATATGGCCTTCTGTAAGCAATTTGGGGAAGACCGCACAGCCCGGTCATGGCTGACTGGGGTTCTTTATGAGGCAAGTCTAAATTAGTGTTGCTCATAAGGGGGTCTTTTGGGGGGAGTAGGTGATAAGGCTGGAGTCCTGAAAACTGGCGTAGGTGAGGATCGGCATCAGAGGTTTGGGGGCGACCAGCTATGCTAAGGGCTTAGGTTTGCAGAATCGATGGTCCTGGGGTCCTGGGGCATGCTCTGCTGGACTGGGGGCCAGGTTGCTGACAGTCCCATCTCTCCTGAGCCCAGTGTTTTCCCAAGGTAAGAAAATAAGCTCTTAACCAAGGGAAGGAGTAGGCCGCTCAGCTTTCAAAAACAGGAGCCGCAGCCCTATTGCTGTGAAGATACTTTGTGTTTTCAAAGTTCAAAAAATTTTCTTGTAATGACTCATTTAAAGGGTGCACACAGCCTCTTTGTAAAATACGTGGAAAACCCTGGACCACAGGGCCCGGGGCCAGGACGACTTGTCTGGAGAAGGCTCTAGAATGTTGGGCTTTGGGGAACCACACTGCACTTCCCAGGCAGTTCTACGAAGTCTCTCACATCTGCAGCAAAGGTGTGTTCTTCCGGAAGTACGGGAAAGGGCTTTAAAAGCATCTGTGCCCCTGTGCTCTGGCGAGAGCTGAGAGCTAAATTATCCACCATGTCCCTGTGATTTTGCACTGTTCTGTTTCTGAGGACACGAGTTGCTGTTGACTCACAAGTAGATACCCAATCGGACTTTGGTTAACTTGGTTTTGCCAACTCCTCTTGGGTGCTGGCCTCAGTCCGCTCATGATTTTTGTTTTTAAGTAGGTTTGGAGGGCGCGGGTGAGGCCTGTGGAACGGGGTCCTGGGAGCGGGGGGCCTCGGCCTTTGCAGGATCGTTGATGCAGGGGAAGCAGAAGCAGCAGCTCTGCACGTGGGGCTGTGTGCCACTGGGAAACTGACTTCACCTCTCTGAGCATCTTCTAACAGAAACGCTACCTGCCAGATGGGGTCTGTGATACCAAAGAGCAACACCTGGGGTCTCAGCCACCCCATCTTCCCCAGCTACAGCCCGGCCTCTTGTCCCACAGGGAAGGCGTTGCCCAGGCAACGAAGCATGGGCTGACACTGACACTGTGGGTTAACGGGGGAGTGTGGACACTTTTGGGACTTTGAACTAAGAAAGTGGTTGGGAGCTGTACGCAGGGCTCTCGCCGTATCCGTATTGGGGACATGTGCCTAGTGCAAGGTAGGAGGCCCACAGTGCAAGAGGTTTCAGAGTCAAGCAATATTAGCAACCGAGTTAGAGATCATTCTTGTGATATTTTGGCAAAGAGTATGTGGGTTTTTTTTTTTTTCCCTTTTATCCTAAGTATCTGTCTGAGGCTGAATTGAAGAGTTCTGGAGTAATTTTATTGGCAGAGGAGATTTCCAGACAGCCTAGTTTACACTGTGCAGTGTGGTTATCAGTGACCACGCTGAGCTACAACGGAAGGGAGCAGGCAGGGCAAAAAGAAATACAAAATGTTCAGTTCCATGGGACAAAGAACAGCAGAGTGTAATGTTGGAGCCAAGTCCTTGAGACATTTAAAGATTGGGCTAATAACAAATGGGATAAAGACAGCAGTGACCTCAGGGAAAGACCCCGCCCAGCTAAGCTTCCAACTTGTAAACCAGCAACCCTTATGTAATCTTAGGCTCCTAAAGCAAAGGGAAACCTATTCAGCAAAGGACAGTGTCAACAAATCAACACTTACTAAATGTCATTCAAGGAGAGACAGGCTCCATCCCAAGCAGGCAGAGGAACTTGGCAGCACTGGGCACGTGGTTCTCATTTTAGACTCACAAAGGAGACAGGAATAAAGGCATTTGTGTACAGCGCACAAATGGCAGGGCGTTCCTGCATGGTGGCCCAGAGAGGCCATTGAGTGAAGCTGTGAAGGAGAGAGATATGCCATCAGACAGGCTGGTCCTCTGGGCTACTGTGTGACCCGGGAAAATAACTTGACTATCCTGGTCCAGCCAGCTCCCTGTGAAATGGAAAGGTTAGAGCAGATGCCTCCTGCATGCTGATGTCGATGGCTCCGCACGGCGCGGTGATCTGAGGGCTCAGGCTGTGCTGCAGTTCGCCTGTGTCCCCATTGTGCAGATGCTGGGAACCTCATCCCGGTGTTAGAGTGAGGGAGGGCGTGCCTTTAAGGGATAATTCTGTCTGAAGTGTTCAGTGTCCGTGCAGCCAGGCGCCCCTGCTGACAGGCCGAGCTTAGCCCCCTCTTCTCAGCTCCTGTTTCCCACCGTGGACAGCAGGAAGCCTACCAGACACCAGCTTCCGGGCCTCTTCCCCCCTCCAGAACCCAGAGCCACATAAACTTCTCCTGCTTAGGAGTGCCCCACTATAGCTGTGAAGACGAAGACAGGTGGTGAGGGCCACGCCCCGCCGGCACAGGTGATGAGAGGCCAACTGTCCAATTATTGTCCGAGAATGTGAAGCGGGTTCGAGGCCCCTGTCTTTGCCCTCCCCTCTCCCTCCCTCCCCCATTCTCCTCCCCTCCCCCTCCTCTTCTTCTCTCCTCCCCCTCCTCTCTCTCCATTACCTCCCCCACTTTCTCTTCCCTCCCTTTCTTCTCCCTCTCCTCATCTGTAAGTAGTTTTAGGCAGCATGGATTCAGACACAATTCAGCTCGGTCTCAGATGTCAGCCTCGCGCTGGCTACCTGGGCACGACTTCCTGTGGCTGGCCTTAGCATCCTCATCTGTCGTGGGTGAGCCATTCTTCTAAGCCACGACAGACATTCTCAGTGGACGCACACACACATCAAGGGCCGCTGTGCCATCTGGAGTCCAAGGACTGGGATCCAGCCTGGTTGGACTCCAGCTCTGCCATCCACCCATCCACCAGCTGGGTGGTGACAACCGGCAAGAGACTCAGCCTCTCTGTGCCCCAGCTCCCTTACCAATAAACAAGGAAAATAAAACCACCTGTCCACCAACACGGCCGGCTGTGAGGAGGATGAAGTACTGGGTGCCTAGCGTGAATGTCATTCTCTAAGTGTCCAGTACCCTGCCTGGTTCTTGGCTACTTCAAATATTCTGCTGCTGTTGGTGACGATATAGTCAATAACCTAGGCTCTGTATTAGGTGCGGGGGGGGGGACAGACTAGGGCAGAAAGCTCCTCAGGGACTTAGCAGTCTAAACAAGAGACCCAGCAGGCAGCAGGGGCAGCATGGTGCCCGTCAGGTCAGTGCCGGCTGTGATGTGGGAACCCGGAGCAGATTGTTGCTAGCCTGTGGAGCCTTCCTTGGGTGAGGAATCAGCCACAATGAAGGAGTTGGAACTCATCGGCCACAACCTGGGCAGGAATAAGCACTCAGAAAACAAGAACAGCAGGATCAAGGGCCTGGAGTTTGGACAGCCCCTAGACAGGGCAGATGCAGGTCTTCAGGTTGGCCAGGACTCCCCATCCCCCATCCCAGCAGCCTGGGCTCCAGGATCCATTTCTGGCTCCAACGGTGCTCCCAGCCAAGGGGCGGGTCATCCCTAGTGGGCTGCTACCACCCAGGAGCGCAGCCTGGCTGGCAGGCGCGCGCAGCCTCCTCTAGCGCCCCCCGCTCCGCGCAGCTGGCGCCCACGCCCTCACCACGCCGCTTCCTGCTCCTCCCTCCTCTCCCCTCTCCAGCTGTTTCTCAGGCTGAGTTCTGTCCCTGTCCCACACAGAACTCTGGACAGAGAAAGGCGCTTAGGATGTGCCCGGGGTCTGTGCTCGGCGGGGCTCCGAGGAAATCGTGCGTGAATGGGAGAAACGCTTCCAAGCAAACAGTCCCGACCAGCACAGCCCAGTGAGCAGGAGGAGGGCTGAAGCCACGGGAGCCCGAGGGGAGACTGGGGAGAAGGTACTGCACTTGGCTTTGAGTCCTGCAGAGGGCGGGAAGGGGCGCACCGGCGGGGACCGGAGCGCTTTTCCTAAGGTGGTGCCTGTCAAAGTTTCTAGTCTTGAGTCCGACCTGAAGAGCCACGCTGGTGCTTGTGAAAAACCAGCGTGGCCATCTCAGTCTCAAGTTCATTCTTCCCCGAAACCAGCTTGAACCCAACTTTCGCCTAGCCACAGGCCATCATCGGCAGGCTCTCCGTGGTGTCCAGTCAGGACAGCTCGGTGGCTGCCGGCAAAGGTTGTCCTGGCACGGTTGTAATGGATGTAACTGCTGGCACGGTTGTAATGGATGTAACTGCTGTCGCGTCTACTTCTCATTTTGCTTTTATTATAACGAGCGAGCGGCTCTGCAATGGACGCTTGGTAGAATGATTGTGCTTTGGTTATTGGTCCTGTGGATACATCTCGATGCCCCCCCCCCTAGTCTGTCAGTCTGTGTGGTGTACTCTCCTCCCCTTCTCCTCCCCTTCTTTCCTGTCCATATGTGCTTGCCGAGGGAGGAGGACGTGGTGTACTTGAGGCCATGTCTCTTACAGACCCAGAGGCTGGCAGGTTTGGGTAGCTTGGCCACCAGGTCTCTCCAGGCATTGACTTGTACTCTCTCTGTCCCCCAATGTTGGGGGTTACAGGCACATGCGGCTATTCCCAGCTTTTTACACAGGTGATGGGGATTCGAACTCAAGTCCTCATGCTTGCACAGCAAATGCTCTTACCCAACCAGCCGTCTCCCCATGCCTTCACTAGCTACTTTAAAAATAATAGGTTTACACTGGGCATGGGGGCACACGCCTTTAATCCCAGCACTTAGGAGGCAGAGGCAGGAGGATCTCCGTGAGTTCAAGGACATAGTTTATGTGTACATGGGTCGATCTCTATGTGGGTCTGTGTGTATGAGTGCAGGTGCCCGAGGAAACAACTTCCCCTGGAGCTAGAGTCACAGATGGTTGTGGGTTGCCAAATGGGTGCTGGGAATTGAACCTGGGTCTTCTGGAAGAGCAGCTGGTACTCTGCGCTGCGGAGTCATCTCTGCAGCCCCTCACTACCCCTTTGAGGACGTGTGAGCAGTTTCTGCACGCTGATACCCCCTATGGCATAGGGGTGTGGTAGCCTTGAAGCCCCCCCCATGGCTATCTGCCCCTACCTGATAGGCTTCCTTTTGCTCCTCTTCGTTTTTTGCTGATGATCTCACACTGGGACCCTGGGCTCGATGATTAGGCAAGCCTGGCTGTGAATCCTGCCTCTGCCTCCCCAGCACTGGGATTACACGTGTATACCACCACATCTGGCTATTCACGTGGGTTCTGGGTATTTGAACTCAAGTTCTCATGCTGGCAGAGTAGGCTACCTCTCTCTCTCTCTCTCTCTCCTTCATGATTCTTTTTAACATTTTTAATTTATTTTTTACATTCCAATCCCAGTTCCCCCTCCTTCCTCTCCACTCCCTTCCCCCATCTGCTCCTCAGAGAGGGTGAGGCCTCCCCTAGGAAGTCTACTGAGTCTGACCCATCACCTTGTTGAGGTAGGGCCAAGGCACCTCTCCACCCCACATCCCCATGTATCTCTCCTTGTAGAATGGGCTCCACTCAGTCAGCTTGTGCGTTAGTGTTGGATCTGTGGGTACTGAGCCATCTCCCTGGCCTCTGATTTTCTATAGTGAGTCTGCGGCTCACATGTTATCTCTGACTCTCCTGTGTAAGCCTACTCCCCCGCCCACCTCCATGTTCATGTTTTCTTATTGATATCTAAAAGTTCTTTGCATATGGAAGACAGGAGCCCTTTGGCCAAACTCTGCCTTGAAAGCATCACACTCCCTCTGTTACCATCCCAAAGCATTTACAAGGAGGGAGCCCTGGCGGGGAAAATCATCACCTAGAAGTGACCCAGGAGTGGCACTTGAGAGTTTGATGTCCTGTGTATGTGGCTCAGAGAGGGCAAGTCTCAGATCTGAGGTCACACGGCGAGGAAGTAGTGGAGGAGCCCTTGTATCTTAAGAAAGCCCCGATTCCCCTTCGCCGCCCCTTCCTTCCCCTTTCCAAGGGGATCTGTGTTCTTGCGTCTGTCAAGAGAAAGGCGTGATCAGCTCCAGGCTCGCTCGCTAGCTCACTGCTCTCTCGTGCCTGGTTCAGTCAGGCTGTGGAAGGGGTTGACTCAGCATTCTCCTCTGAAAGGTTTGGCTTAAACTTGTGAGGTGTCCGTCACGTGGGAGGTCACGGTGTTGTCTCCCAGAGTCAGGGTGGTGGCTCTGGGCTCCCCCCACTCCCCCAAACTGCATCCCTCCCTCTCCCCCTCCCCCTGATAACTCCTCCCACAAGGCTTGTAACTGTTGGTCATCTTGTCTGTGTCCTAGAGACCTGGGACTCCCTAGGCCACAGCCCAGTGTTATGTCCTCCAGCTCCTCTGACCCCTTGCATATGACCTTATGCACACAACAGTGTCTGCTGGGTCCATGGAGAAGCTGGGCCTCAGTTTTGCCATCTGTAAAATGGGCTGGGAGAACGGACTGTAGTCCCATGTCTTAGATGTTTGATTATGAATGAGGGCTGGAGGTGGTCTCTGCACTCTACCATGGTCATGTGATGAGGGTTCTAGTAACACCCCAGTTTGCAGATTAGATGTCCAAGGCCTTGGAAGGGTTCCAAGGGTAGGCCGCCATAGATTCCGTACGGCCCCACAACTACAGGGTGGGCTTATGCCTCAGTTTCTACATCTGTAAAATGGGGTTCTTGAACAGGGGCTACCCTGTATTATTTTCACAAAGGTGAAATGACATAGGACCTAACAGTGACTGGCTAATGCGGATCCTGTAGGCTCTGGATGTTACTGCATACGTCGGTGACACTCAGCCTCTGCCTGTGTGACCTGAGTCACACAGAGGCCAGTACGGTGTGCGTGTGTGAGTATGTGTGCATGGTGTGTGTGCATGTTCATGTGAGAACAGACCTTTGTGCGTGTGTGTGTGCATGCGTGTGGAAGCCACAGACTGACCTCCTATGCCATTCCCCAGGAATCGTCCACCTTGTTCTCCTGCAGCTTGCATTTGATGAGTAAATTAGTCCGGGTGGCCCCAGGGACCCTCCTGTCTCTGCTTCCCCCGCACCGGGATTATAATCACACTGCCACAACTGGCTTTTGCATGGGTGCTGAGGTTCAAACTCAGGTCCTTCTGCTGACTTATCAAGTGCTTCACCTACCGAGCCATAATCTCCCTAGACCCTAACACAGGTTTCTTCACAGATTATTAATGCCCAAGCCACATTAGTGTGAAGGAAAACTACCCGTGTCCTCTTTCCTGAGCCGAAGACACTGGGGTCATTGTGACCTTGTGACTATCAGGTTCTGGAGTAGGCCCTAAGCTGGGATCACAATAATGGTGGGAGCTTCTTTTCTGCACGTGTGTGCACGCGCGTGCGTGTGCACGAGAGAGAGAGAGAGAGAGAGAGAGAGAGAGAGAGAGAGAGAGAGAGAGAGAGAGAGAGAGAGAGAGAGAGAGAGAGGCCAGAGCAAGATACAGGTATCAGTGTCCACCATACTGCTGTAACTCAGACAGGCTCTCTAACTAACTGAACAGGCATCACTGTTTCGGCTTAGACAGGCTGGCCACGAAGCTCCCAGAATACATATGTCTCCTCCCCCCAATACTGGAGTTACAGGCACACACAGTCATGCCTGGCTTTTAATGTGGGACCTGAGGATTTGAACTTGGGTCTTAAAGCTTGCAGAGCAAGCTTTCTCAGCCTCTGAGCCACCTCCCCAGCCCTCATGGGTGTATTTTAGAGCTTCAGCATCTGTGAATCAGGCTCTCTGAGGGTGAGGCTAGGGCGTCAATGCCCTGAACGGAGCTCGGCTGACTGGAGCACTCGAGGAACACTCGAGGGTTTTTCCGTTTGCCCTCTGCCCAGGTTTCTGATTCTTTGCTTTTCACTTGAGTTTCTTTTTCCTTCCTAAGCAAATATCCACAGACCTCTGTGAAGCCGCATACTCTGTGTCAGCAGCAGCTGAGGCCAGGAGGGTTCATGGAGAAGTGAAACTCTCTCTGTCTTATGGGACACAGCATGTCCCATCAAACCGGTTCCCCCACGGGTGGGAGCTTTGCAGTTACTTTAAGAGACGAAGTCCGTTTATCAAAATAAAGCAGTCAGAAATATGCAACCTGAAAAAGCAATCAAACACTGCCCTCCCCAAAACCCCCCAAAAACCAGAAGGGCAGCCCAACAGACAGGCCCCATGGCTGTGCCCGGTAAGGGTGGTTTACAGCATGACTGTCCCACACTGTTCATGCAGAGAGGAGACAGTGCATGGAAGTATCATGGCTGAACTGGGTTCACTGTGGTGCTGGGATTGAAGGGAGGAAACCCCGGCAGAGTCAGAAGCCAGAGTGAGACAGGCGTAAGTGCCTTCAGCCCCCGGGAGGGGGGGGCGGGAAACTTGAAACACATATTTTTGTTCATCCACTCAACAAACGTTTGCTATTGCCAACTCCGTGTTTGATGGAGCAAAGCAAGATTCTTCCTCCTAGCAACCTCCATGATAGTTACATGACTCCTATTATTAAAGTGAGGTTCTGACTGGCTGGGTGACACCCCACAGGCTCCTCCTGATGGGGTCAGGATTTGGGTCCCTGTGCCCCACAGTGAACCCTTCTAAGCTACCTCTAAAAAGGAGGTGCTAAGCGCCAGCCTTGGGATGCAGGGAAAGGGCCTGTTTGTGGCAGCCTCTTGGGGCTGCCTCGGAGCTCAGGCCCTGAGCTGTTTCTGGGTTCAGGAGTCTCAGCATATTCGCCGCAGGGGTCACAAGTGAGTGGTACTGCTGGGTGGACAGAGAGGCCGTGGGTTTCCGTGGTGCTGTCAAAGGAAGGGTGCTTTCAACAGGAGCCAGCAGTTGGCGGCGGCCAGAGACCCCAGAGCCAGCGGCTCCCGGATTCAGCTCCCTGCCTTGCCCCTTGGCTTCCTCCTCCAGGCTGTG